TCTGCCCACAGCGCCGTCCTGGGTGCCCCTGGTCGTCTGCCCACAGCACCGTCCTGGGTGCCCCGGTCATCTGCCCACAGCACTGTCCTGGGTGCCCCTGGTCATCTGCCCACAGCACCGTCCTGGATGTCTCTGGTCGTCTGCCTGCACCCCCGCTCCCCGGGCGCCCGTGGCTCCTTCCTCCGTCCCTCACGGCTCCTCTCTGCTTGGCCGACTTTACAAAGGCAGCGTCGAGCTTCAAACTGCCTCCCTCTGCCGACTCCATGCCTCCCCTAACCCGGAGGACTCTCAACCCAGTCCTATCTCACTGCTCCCCAATCTCGCTCACCTGCCATCTGCACAGACCTCCCCCTGCCTGACCTCGGGGTGCAGCACCGACCCCCTACCCCCTGGCTGTCTCAGGGTTCATGTGAGCCCCCTTGTTGCCTCCTCCGTGAGGCCCTGCCGTCCCTGTATTGCTCACAGTCTGTATGTAGTCTCAAAGGGCCTGGTTTCTCTGTGTGTTCGTCTCTGAGCCCGTGAGGCTGCGTCCCCACGGTGGTTGTGAACAGGGGCCCCATGGTGGCTCAGCACTGCACAAGGGTCCCCAGGGCCACCGTGGCCAGCATCAGGGTTGCCTCCTCCACGGCCACGAAAGTCCCCCAGGGCTGGGCCCATCACCGTGGGGGCTGGGCGCTACCTGGACAAGGTGCTGTTGATGCGGTCCAGGAGGAACTGCAGGAAGTCGTGGGGTGTGCAGAAGTACCGAAAGGTGTACAGAAACTGCTGCACGTAACCCTCCAGGAAGGCGTCGCTGGGGGCAGAAGGTCCGTTAGCCCAGGTGCCCAGACCGGCTCCTTGGGACCCACACAGCCCGGCATGCCCAGGTGCCTAGACCGGCTCCTTGGGACCCACACAGCCCGGCACGCCCAGGTGCCCAGACCGGCTCCTTGGGACCCACACAGCCCGGCACGCCCATGCCTGCCCAAGGCTCCAGTCTAGATGGCCACCTTGTCCAGAGCCCCTCTCCCTCTGCTCGGGATGTTCACCTCGGCCTCAGGGTCTGTCCCAGGGGCAAGAGGGAGGGGAGTGGGGGGGAGGCCCCCCTTTCTTAGCAGTCCTGGGGTATAGGTGTGTGTGTGGCGGCGGGAACGGGGGCTTGTAACACCGGCACCTGGTTCTGGGCTGTCCCAGAGTTTGTCAAAGCTTCAGACCACCCGACTCCCGTTGTGTGTGTGTGTGTGGTAGTGTTGAGTGCACGTGTATGAGAGTGGATGTAAGCATGTGTGTGTGTGCGTGTGAGTGTACGTATGAGCACGTGTGAATGGAATGTGGGCCAGTGTGTGAATGTGAGTGGGCATGAGAGCTGAGTGTGTTGGGGTGAGTGTGTGTGTGTTGGGGTGTGAGCGAGCGTGAGTATGTGTGTACTGGTGTCCCTTGCCGGAGGAGTGAGTCACAGTGGGGTGCAGGTGACACTCGAGGTTCCGACCCCTCTGTCCTCTTGGCCCAGCCCAGCCCCTTCACCATTCCTGGGGCTGCAGGTGGACGGCCCAGCCTGGGAGCTGGGGAGTGGGGCTGTGAGGGCACTCCCTGCATCCCTGGCCAGACGATCTTTCCACTTGTAACTCAGGGGACTCCAGGCCACATCTCAGCACCCATTTGTGTTTAGAAGTGGGTGTTGTGACTGTGCAAGGCTGTATTTGGGGCTCTCCCCCCGTGCTCCATGTATCCACACGCCAAGGCTGTATTTAGGGCTCTCCTCCCGTGCTCCATGTATCCACATGCCAAGGCTGTATCTGTGGTTCTCCTCCTGTGCTCCATGTATCCACATGCCGGCCTGGGCACAATCTGACCGAGCTCTGTCTCTGTTCACAGGCACGCAGCTGTGGCCTGCGGCCCTGTGGCCGCTATGACCAGGAACTGCGCAAAGGGGGCCTGTGGCCGCTCACAAAAGTCAACTTAAAACTCTGACTAGAATTTTTTCCAAGTTAAATGGAAGTGGAGAGCAGGCAGGGCCTTTCCCACTTTGGTTCACTTCCCACAACCTATTCTTTTTTTCTGAATAGCCTGTCCTCCCTTTGCTCGTAGAAGGCACGTGGCCTGAGGTCAGAGGAGCCCACTGCCCCCTCAACCTGGGCGCACCTGGAGTACAGGTAAGCCATGGGCCCAAGCAGGCTGCTCCCCCCTCCACCTGTTTGCACCTGGAGTACAGGTAAGCCATGGGCCCAAGCAGGCTGCTCCCCCCTCCACCTGTTTGCACCTGGAGTACAGGTAAGCCATGAGCCCGAGCGGCGTGCCGGCCTGCAGAACCCGGGCCTTCTTCTGCCGGCTGCTGCTGCTGCTGCCGCCCCACGGGGTCTTGTTGACATTGTAGAAAATGAGGGAGGATGACTCATCCAGGGGACTGAAGTCCAGTGTCCCGCAGTGGGCCGCCCCAATGTTCACGATCACCGGCAGGGCACTGGGCTCTAGGCCCCATCTCTCTGCGTAGACCACCTGGGCGAGAAATTGAGTGTTGGACATGCTTGGCCTGGGCCTGTGGGACACTGGCGACCGTCACCCTGCTCCTGGTCCCTGGCTGCCTGGCCCCTGCTCACTGATGGCCACTCAAAAGTCAGGGATGTTTTTCAACTCCTGATGGGGGCTGCTCGACGGCATTCAATGGGCAGGGGTGTGTGGCGCCCGGGCTGACTTGCCTGTAGGTACTTCTTGACCAGCCCAAGGAACTGCACCTTGGATTTCATCTCTTCCAGCTGCCCTTTCAACTTGGACAACATTGTCTTCACCTCAGAGCCTGCAAGGTGAAGCCGAGTTCAAAATCAAGTCCTGTCCAGTCAACTGTGACTCATGGCAGCCCCATGTGTCAGAGTAGAACTGTGCTCTGTAGGGTTTACAGTGGTTGATCTTTTGGAAGCAGATCACCAGGTCTTTCTGCTGAGGCACCTCCGGGTAGACTCGAACCTCTAACCTCCAACCCTTTAGATAGCAGAAGAGCGCTGAGCCATTTGCATCACCCAGGGACTCCAAAGCGGAGTGATCACGGGTGCGTTGCTGTGGTACCTTTGCTCCTTTTCTCCTTCTGCAGGAGCTTCTGGTAGAACTTGAGGGTCTTCCGGTAGCTCCTCCTCTCCATCATCAGCTGCTGCTCCAGCTCCTGGAGGAGGAGACACAGGCCGTGACCCGGGGCTTGGGTGCTGGCTTTGAGTGTGACGTGGAAACGCCCTGTCCTCACGGCTTTCTCATGCCAATCAGCCCACGTGTGAAAGCGCTGAAGACACCCGAGTTCGTGTGGACGGGTGACACCATCATGACCCACAGGGAAGCTTCAGGGGAGATTCTGAGCAGCGACAGGGTATCACACACCTAAGCTGCAGTAGAAGCCCTGTTTTGGTGAGTAGGAATTCTCTGTAGCAGTTTGTCTGCCTCTCTAGCGTTTGGGGTGGGTTTTGCCCTGTGACCTCAATTCTCTGACAGATCTAAGAAGAGTTGTTAATTTTCAGCTCGTTTCTGGTTGTGGGGATTGGAGTCTGGCTCTTTACGTGCCGGACCAGAACCTGCAGGTCCTGACTGATTTTAAGGATAGATTTACTTTAACTAAATGTCACACAGCACATGGGACAATGATGAAGAGGAAAACAGGCATTGGAATGTCACCACCAGCCCACATCCTGGGAGAAACATAATCGAACTCGACCACAGGCTGACTAGGATTGGCTCCATCTAAATAAAATACTTACAGTGTACTTGGCCTTTTTGATTTTAACCTGATAGAGGATTTTTATAAAAGTAGACGACTTGGTTAAAAAGAAACACGTGAATGATGTGAGGCACAGTTTAGGCTCAGTGGCTACTGACTTTAAATAGACGTTAAAGCTGACAATCCTGGGAAGTAGACACAGAAAGTAATAATTCGCAGGAAGCTGGAAAACTCGATATTGTAGACAAGGAAAGACAAGAAGGGATGAACTGAAACCAAGCCCATCCATTGAAATACTGAGAGCAAAACCCACTTTAACAGCGGCAGGCTAAGTGAGATGAAGCACCCAGACCAGGAGACCAAGGGGGTGGCTCCAACTCTGACATTCTCCCTGGAGATGCCTGCAGTGCCAGGCACGTGGGCACAGGTGTGCAAGTGTATAGGTACGCAGGTACACAGATGTGCAGGTACACAGGTGTGTAAGTGCACAGGTGTGTGAGTGCATATGTACACAAGTGTGTAATGCAGTTACACAGGTGTGTAAACGCACAGATGCACAGGTACATAAGTGCACAGGTACACAGGTGTGTAAGTGCACAGGTACACAGGTGTGTAAGTGCACAGGTGTGTAAGCGCACAGGTGCACAGGGGTCAGTGCAGAGGTGTGTCAGCGCACAGGTACACAGACATATAAGCACAGGTGTGCAGTGAGCATGCACTGAGCAGACGTGAGGACTGCAGTCAACAAATGGAGAAAACACACACGTCCCTTTTAGCTGCGTCACCACCCCGGCTGCCCTGGCCCGTCCACGAGCTCGTCCTGTTCTCAGGCTGCAGTGAGAACATTTGTCTGGCTGTTGTTTCGTGCCTTGAGTGTTTCTCTGGGGCTCCACTTTTGAAACAGACAGTGGGGACTCAAGGAGAAACGTGCCCAGTGGCCCCGGGCTGGTTTTGCCCACCCCCCGAGCAGAGAAGGCACAGGAAACTCACCTGGCTGCATCCCGGCTCCAGGAGAGACTTCTTCCCCAGGGGTGCAGGAAACAAACGAGAAAACGAGGTCATGTCTCCCCTTTGTCCACCCACCAGCACGTTCCCTGAGAACAGTCTACGCTTCCCTGGATCAATCACCCGAGTCAGATGCTTCCTCAAACAGGAGCTATTCCTCGAGTAACAGAGCCTGAACACGGGCCCCAGGGCCCGCTGGGGCCTGCTTGTCCCACGCCGTGGCGCGGTCCACCCTGAGCCCTTGGCTGACCTTGTCCTCCGGCCGGCTTCTCTGGCCAGCACAGTCTCCCCCCTTGGCCCAACACATGCGGGTGCTCTCTGTTGTACGAGGCGGTACCAGTACGGGGGATGGGGGGGTGGGGATCACCTGCCCGGGGACTATCTGCCCAAGGACCATCTGCAGGACCCTGGTGCCCTGCTGCCACTGGACTCCAGACCCTGAGGCCACGACGTCCCCTGAGGGTGGACGCGGCTCTGCACCCCCCCAGGCCAGACGCTGAAGTCAGGCCCCTGTGTTTGTGACGTTTGCTGTCCAGGCTGCTCCCTCGTCACCAGGACCAAGTTCTGAGAGGCCCAGCCCCCCGACCCCGGCCAGGCCCCCACCCCAGGTTTGGCACATCTGAGGTGGTGCAAACCGAGTCTCACCTCAGACACCCTGGGCTCAGGGGGCCCAGGAGGAAACTGCATGTCCCGAAAGACCATAGGCCCTATTCCCACATCTGCAGCACAGGGCAGGGCTGCGTGCCTCCTAGTGCGGGTTGCCTGACAGAGGGAAGTCAGGGGACCTGCCTTCCTGGTGGACGAGGGGGTGCCACAGGGGAAGGCTCAGATGTAAATGCCAGACCCCCAGTGAGTGAAGACGAGCCGCTGCTTTCCTGGGGTGCGGGCAGGGCTGCAGACGGGACTGAGAACGGGGTCGGGGGGGCCCCTAGGTGCAGGACCCCTGACCACCTCCCGTTGGAGCTCCTCCTGTCTACTGCCCTGGGGATGCATCCGACCTTGTGTTTGACCCTGGTCTCTGCAGGGAGGGGCGGGGGGGGTTGGTGGCTGGGCCCAGGTCAGAGCCCCGATGTCTGTGGGGGTGGGTCCAGGTCAGAGCCCCAGTGTCTGTGGGGGTGGGCCCAGGTCAGAGCCCCGATGTCTGTGGGGGTGGGTCCAGGTCAGAGCCCCAGTGTCTGTGGGGGTGGGCCCAGGTCAGAGCCCTGATGTCTGTGGGGGTGGGTCCAGGTCAGAGCCCCGGCATCTGTGGGGGTGGACCAGGTCAGAGCCCCGGCATCTGTGGGGGTGGACCAGGTCAGAGCCCCGATGTCTGTGGGGGTGGGCCCAGGTCAGAGCCCCGGTGTCTGTGGTGGGGGGGGCCCAGGTCAGAACCCCGATGTCTGTGGGGGTGGACCCCCAGTGGCAGCGCAGCAGCCCTAAGCCCAGGCTCTGTCCAGGGCTTTATGCACATCAGGGCAGCCCGGCCTGGCTGAGCTCAAGTCTGTGGTCTCCTCTGGGCTCTGCTCACCATGGCGGGTCCACTGGCAGAGGGCACTGCCCCCCAGCACGGCCCGGCCGCCCTGAGGGCCCAGCCAGCGTTGGACTGCCAAGGCAAGGCACTTCTAGCGTTTTCTCTCATCTCAGAGTGAGGGTGACCAGGGGCAGGAGGCTCCAGTGGGCAGATGAGAAGGGAGGCGGGACTGTCTGCCCACCAGAGGCACCCCAAACCTGACTGTGACCACAGGACGGTGCCCTACAGGTCTGGCTCACGGAGGAGAAAACCTCTGACTCCAGATGTCCCTGGAGGACCCGTGCAGGTGAGCACAGCACGTCCACACGCCCGCACGGGGGCACCAGAAGCAGGAGACCTAGGAGGGGCACCCAGCGCCCTCCCTGCCCCCACACGGGCCGAGGCCGGGACTCCCCCGGTGCTAGACTCACTGGGTGCTGGGCATCGATGTCCGTGGCCCTGCTGGCCTTCTGCCGCCCCAGCTCTTCCACGTAGCTATGCACGTCGGCACTGAAGCAGTCAGCCTCATAGAAGGCGCTGCACCAGCCGGGGCTGCAGCTCTGGAGCTCGGCGGGGCCCGGTAGCACACCCAGGCCGCCCTCCTCCAGCCGGGCCACCGCCCCCGAGTTGAGACTCCTGCTCGCCAGCTCCGCGCCAGGGTCCCCGCCGCGCGGAGGGCCGTCTTCAGCTGCAGGCTCTTTCTCAGCTTTGAGGGATTTCTGTGGCCGGAATCCCACTTCAAAATTACCCCGGGAGAGCTCCTCGGAGTTGAGATCTGAGAGCGGCGTGGGCGAGCAGAGAGCCCTGCTGGCACGGGATGCGGCCAGCTTCTCTTTCCCTTGAAAGGAAGGGGCCAGGCTTACCCAAGGCAGTGATCCAGCTCTGCCAGGCCCAGGTCAGGGTGCAGCCCCCCAACCCCCCATGGCACAACTTCTGCTCTTCAGAGGCCATGAGGTGTTCCGGGGGTCGCAGCCTGGTACCTTGGAAGTGGGGTCCGTGGGCCCCACCCCCAAACCTGCTCTTCTGTCACCCGAGATGGAAGTGGAAATTAGGATGTGGTTCTGAGATGCTTGTAGGTACATGTGTTAGGAGGAAGCGTGACAGGTGGGCCAAGAAGTGGTGGAGTTTTCCTTCTCTGGACATTTGAACTGTGTTTTTAAACTTCTTACTGGACATTTCGGGTGCACAGCAGAGTGTAGCATCTGATGTGTGTGTGCAGGCGACTATCAACTTTGCCCCTTTGCTTCCCCAGGCCCCTCCCCTTTTTTCTTCTAGAATATTTACAGCAAACCCTAGCTCTCTGTCACTTCCCACAAATGCTGCAGCAACGCCCAGGATGTGCTCAGGGTGCACTGTGTGTGGGGTGGCCTGGCTCCCACAGGCAGCCCCAGCTCCCAGATCTCATGTCCTCCCACGCACTCCCCCGGCTGCCAGACCCCATGGGCTCCCGGACCCCGTGCAGGAGCTTGCCAGCTCCTGCTTTGCCTGAGTAGGAACTCGGTGTCCTTTACGTATCCCTGGTTTCCAAGCAACTGAAAAGCCCAGATCCTGCCCTCTCCAGCCCGCTCTGGATGTCTCCAGCCTGGACCTCTGGAAATGACAAGGTCCTCAGCTGTGCTGGCATCCTGGGCTGGCAGGAGGAGGCCTTGGATGGTGCTGAGTTCTGGGAAAGATGCTTGCAAAGCTCTGTCTGGACCAGCCAGCTGTGGGTGGTTCCAGGAAGGAGCGCCGGCCTGCCTCTCAGGCCCCTCACCAACATGCCCTCCTGAAAGAGGACTCCCCCCTCTCTATGGCGCCTTCTCCTACCGAGCCTGGGCCCTGAGTGTCTTCTGCTGGACGGGGAGCAGCTGCTGGGCGCACCAGCTTCGACTTCTGCCTCGGGCTGCTGTGCGGCCTCCCTGGAAACAGTGGAGATCAAGAGGGACACGTGAGGCTTGCTGAGGGACCTCCCAGTCTCACCCACATGACACTTGCCAGTGCCCAGGTGCTTCAACACATCCTCAGGGCACACGGTCATTCAGCAGCGTCCTCCAGCCTGAGCCGTCTGCTGCTGCCCAAGGAGGCCCTCCCTGCCGGCGGCAGATGCTCGGGAATCACCCAGGACGGCTGAGGTGGACTCCGGCAGAGGGGGGGTGTCCTTAGTTTCTTGGGAAGTGGCCTAGATGGCCCTTCTCAGTGGGTTGTGGCCTGGCTGGGCCTCCCCCACTGTCCCCCAGGAGCCTCTTTTCTTCTTCCCAGAAGGAACCTGGGAAAGCTGTGGGAAGCAGGGCTGATCGAGACCCCCGTGGGCAGCCCGTCTGATGGTCAAGGTGGACACTGAGGGGAGGGCCGAGACGTGGGCCCAGGCAGACGGGGCTGGCTCTCCTGGGTGCTGCAGGGAGGGGTGCCCACCTGTCAGAGGGCGACGTCGCCCCGTTCACCACCTTGAACAGGTTTTGCAGTAGCGTCTCGTCCCAGTAGAGGTCGCAGAACTTCTCTGATATGGCGCCGCAGAAAGTGGCGTAGGTGAGGTCTTTCAGGGCATGAACATATTCGCCTGGTTTCAAAAACACGCGGCGCAGTTTACAACGTGGGGAGGGGTTTTCTGGGTCAGCTCGCTGTTCAGGTCGCGACTGAAGCCGAGGTTGGTATTGCCCCCCACCCCCCCACCTCAGGGCTCTGGTCTCCTGAGCTGGAGCGGGGTGGGGAGGGGAGCTCTGGGTAGGGGGCGGGCAGCAGGGAGGGAGCCGGGCTCTGGCCTGGGGGGCGGGCAGCAGGGAGGGAGCTGGGCTTTGGCCTGGGGGTGGGGAGCACAGTGATAGGCTCTGGGGAGAGGGGTGGACATTGAGAAGGGCTGAGGGGTGGCTGGAGGGGAGGGGAGCAGCTGGTCTCTAGGACCCTTGGAGGGGGGCCCCCTGCTCTGGGAATCCCCTACGTCTGCTGGTCAAGCCCTGGGGGCTGAGCTCTAACTCCTGAGAGATCATCCGCAGGCAGAGAGACATGAGTGACCAGGGTCTTGGCTGGGATTCTTGGCTCTGCCGCTCCTCCTTCCAGGTCCTCGGGCTGTGCTCCACGCCACGCACCTGGCCGTGACCCCCACCCCACTCCCCTCCATAGTCTTGTCCACGCCAGTCCCTGGACTTGGGGCTCCGCCCTGCACCCCTCCTTGGTCCTGGGTCTCCTTGGGGTCCTGGTGCCCACGCACCCATGATTAAGGCCTCCAGTCCGTTGTCCAGGTAACCATCGGAGGCAAACTCTTCCTGGATGAGGCGCATAGCTTCCTGCAGCGAGGGACAGGCTGTCCTCCTCTGCAGGGGTGAGGTGTCTGCGCCTGAGGGGCACAGCTTGCTGTCGGCCGGCCTGGGCCGCTCTCTGCTGGATGTTCCCCGGGGGCCGTTTGGACTGGCCTGTGCTGCCCATCGGGGACCCTCGAGTTCCTGGTCTGGGCGCTCGGTGACCGTGCCCCTGGGTGTCTTGGACAGGCGGTGTGGGCCGTAGTTGGCCGCGGGGGCCCCGAGGGGAGCGGGCGCGAGGACCCCGGAAGTGGCCCCCAGCAGGACTGGCTCCTCGGACCTCTGCTCTGCCTGGACCTGTGCCTTCCGGGGCTGGGCGGGTGGAGAAGCGCAGACCGGGGAGCTCAGGGTCTTCGAGGATGCGGCCTCTGCTGGCCGGTGTGGGGGGACAGGGGTTGCAGGGCAGGGGCGCTCCACGGCAGACTCTCCGAGCTTCTCTGAGGCTGCGTCCTGCGGCTCGGCAGTCAACGCCGGCCTCTCGGGCGTCTTGGCGCTGGCAGCGGCCCCAAGGGCTTCAGGAGCCAGCGTCCCCCTGCCCACCTCCTTGCCTCTCCTCTCCTCGGGCCTCTCGGCGGGTCCAAGGGCCACAGCAAGCTCGTCCCTGCGGGGACAAGAGGCAGAGCACTCAGGGGGGCCCTGCGCCCCTGCACCCCCCAGCCTTGTGGCGGCACTCACGCAGCAGCATCCGTGTCCTGCTCGAACACGATCGGTTTGAAGTGCGTGGCCGCGGAGGTGAACGCCGCTGGCAGCTCCGTGGCTTCTGTGCGGGAGGCGAGCTTGCCGGGCACAGGTCCTTGCGCGGCGGCCAGCCTGGCGTCTCTGCTGACGGGCACGAAGCCTGGGGGCGGGCCACGGTCAGGACGCCCTTGCGGGACGGTCACAGCCCCAACACCTCCCTCCCCACCCCCCACAACCCCTAGTGCTTCCTCTGTGCCAGAGACCTCGGCGATGCCTGGAATGGGGCTGTCTTCCAGATGGCACCTTCCCCAGGGGTGACGTCCCAGAGAGGGGTAGTGAGGGAGTGTCTAGGGAGCTGGGGGGAAGGGGGAGCACCCAGGGGTGGCATTGGGTCAGAGAGGCCGGGGGCTCAGGGGCTGGAAGGGAGAGGGATCTGCATTTAGGGAAGGCTGCGGTGATGACAAGGACCCTGGCGGTGCAGTGGTTAAGCGCTTGGCTGCTGACCAGAACCCACGAGACAGTCTGGGGGACAAAGATGTGGCAGTCTGCTTCCATAACCGTTACAACCTTGGAAACCCTACGGGGAAGTTCTACTCTGTCGCTGTGGGGTCGCTATGAGTCAGAACGATTTGAAGGCACTGGGTTTTTTTTTCTTTTTTGTAGAGATGGAAAAGTCCAGAAAGAGCACGCATAGGCAAGGGGGCTCCCATGGACCTGCTGGGGAGGAAGGAGGGGCCTTCCACCCGCTGCAGGGAATGGGGGCGGGCGCCGGGACCTTGCACGGGCGGACTGGACCAGGTTGGTGCAAGAGAGCACGAGCGCGGTGGGGCAGGGACATTTGGGACACAGCCTGACCCACTTGGTGTCCACGGACAGAGAGATGAAACCGGCTGTTGAGGTCTGGACATGCTGCCCTGGGTGCCCCCTCAGGGCTGCTCACGTGCACACGGGTGGGGGCAGCGGGGCCGGTGTCTGGGCCCGAAGGAGGAGGGTGGCCTGGGACCCCACCTGGGCTGGGCTCGGGAGGGGACACCACATCCAGCTCCAGGTCAACCACCAAGACAGCATTTTGGAGACTGATGGTTTCTTCCTCCTGGTAAACCTGGGGCAGATGTATTCTGTTAGCACTGCGTTCACGGATACAGAGCTCCTGCGGGCCAAGGCGGGGAGGCTCGCTCCACCGCACGCGGTGCCTTCGCGCCCCAGCAGCACCTCTTCCCTGCACCCCTCATACTAAGCAGGGCGCGCTCTGGGGGCTGGGGGCGGGCCTGCAGCTCAGGGGGCTGGGGCGGGCCTGCAGGCTCCTGTTTTCTCGGATTAGGAGTCTTCGGTACGTGCTTCGCCAACAAATCCAAGCCGTTTCTGGCTGGTTTCTAGGGCATGGGACGGTGATGCCGCGGCTGAGACCTCGTGTTACTCAGAACCCCAACTCCCAGATGCTTGATGGGGGAGGTGCCAGGTGCCGGGGGGCATGACCCTGCCGGTGCTTCAGGACACCATTACCACTCCTGCCCCGCGCCGGCCCAGCCCTCAGGACCAGGAAGGCCGACAGGCAGTCTGTAAACTGTGCTGAACATCAGTAGCCCTAAGGACCCAGGAGATCAGATGGCATCCCTGAGAGCTGACTCCTGCCCGCCCCCCACTCCCAGGGCTAAGCTAAGAAGCAAGGACGAGTCATCATTCTCAGCTTTCCCCCGAATGCCACATAAATGCTACAGCGAACACTTTAAAACCTGAAGCCTTATCCTAACGGGAACCCCCATCTTACCTTACAGGTAGATGCACTCAGGTGGGCTAAGATCTTCTTGCTGTCCATACCTCGCTGAAGGAGGTAGCTGGTGCACATCTGAAAACAGGAAACAGTGAACAGCTGGCACGGGTGTGAGACAGGGCGACTCAGGTTCCGGCCAGTGCGGCCAGCGGGGGAGGGTGTGTGTGTGGATACCGCCAAGCTCTAGGAGGACACCCTACCGAGGCTGGCAGGACAAGGAGAGCCATGCCTCCCTTACAGAAGAGCCTGTGGGTGCCTTGCTCTAGGCGCCCAGGTGCGCCCTAGGCCTTGGGCGGCTGGGTGTGAATTTCTGCATCCATGCATGTGCTCTTTAAGCCTGTCTTCAACCTGGGGATAAAAACTGAACAAAACACTGCCCGTCTCCTCCCCCACAGCTGGCTGGTGAGCCTGATGGACCTGTCATTGCGGACGGCTACTGCAGAGGGGACAGGCGGGGGTGGTGCCCGGAGGTCTGCCCCGGTTGTCACTCATGGAAGATAAGAGACAGGAGGAACACAGAGCATCTCTGGCCGGCCCCTTGAAGAACTACGGAAAGGGTGACGTTATAAAACCCTGGCTGAATCGGGTCAGGATCCGTCAGTGTGCATGTGAGCATGCATGAGCGTTCTCTCTCACACACACGCACACACAAAATGCTCCCGAAATTACACCCTGATAAACGAGAGAACTGGGCAGATGGCTGCAACGAGCTGTAATCAGACAGGCAGGAGGTCCCCCAGGGACCTGCTCAGCCAGGTGGTGGCAGCAACAAGGTCAGCGTGAGTGTGGCTGCTCTTTCCCCTGCCCCGCACGGTGAGGCCAGGCGTCTGTCACCCCCACCTGTGGCTCTGTGCCCTCGAGGTGTGGTGGGCATGGGGCAGGCCAATGGCCCTGGCACTGACTGTCCGAAGGGCCAAGCATTCTGATATTTGGGACAAAATGTTACTGTGGAGCACTCTTTTCACTCAGGATTGTGGGTGCTGTGGTGCGGGGAAGACAAGAGTCTTGTTTAGTGAACATGGAAGGAGCTCTCACACACACTTTGCACCCTTTCATGGTGGGAACCCCGTTAGATGTTATCCTCACCTGACGGAGCCACCAAGGCCAGAGAGGTGAGCACCTGGCCCAGGCCACAGAGTGGTTGGGTGGGGAGGCTGAACCTGACCCCTGCCCCCAAAGCCCATCTTCTCACCATCTGCACAGGGCTTCTCCTCCCATCCCAACACTATGGGGTCCACCCTGCTCTGTCTCCTGCTTCTACTTGCTAGAGGTGGGCTGGGGACCCTCTAGGGGGTAGTCAAGACCCAGCTGCAACTGGATCCCCCAGCCTGGGGCCCACATCCCAGCAGGGAAAGACAGGTGGGGAGAAGCGACGCCTGATCCATGAGCTAAGGATGCAAGGCTCGGAAGGGCCCTCGGGTGGGGAGGGGAAATCAGGGCTCCTGGCGGGGTCTCAGGCTAGCTGTCCAGTTCTTGGCTCTGGGCACCCCCTCCTCGCTCTCAGCCAGGAGGAAGCTTTGGAGAGAAAGGGCAGCCTGAGCAGTGCTGCTGAGAAAATGAAGCCCACCCTCCCCCGTCCAACGGCTCAGGTGCTAAACCTGCATCCCAGCTCCCCCAAGCCTTGCATGCCCAGCTCAGCAATGGAGGCTCACCGCCCCAGGCCTTGGGACCATCGTGGTGTGGGCACAGTGCAGTTACCTTGATGGCCTCGGCCGCAGACAGCCGCTCCCGGGCGCTGCATCTGGCCATGTCCAACAGGAGGGCCTTGAGCCTGCGCGGCAGGGCCAGCTTGTGGTCGCGGGGCACACTGAACTTGGCTGCGGTCCACAGAACGGCGGCCACACAATACACTGAGGCCTGGGTGAGTGGGGAGAGGGTGTTGGAGGCACCGCGGGGCCAGCCACACCCAGCAGATGCTGCCCTGCCCCAGGGTGTCCCCGGGGGAGGGGGACACCGGGCATAGCCCCCGCAGAGTGGCTCCTCGGACACACATAGTGAGATTGTCCACCGTGGGAGGGGTCTTCAGTCTCCTCCTCCACCCCCCCTACTTTCTGCACCAGAACCCAGGACACGGCCTGGGAATCTGTCATGTTTAACAAGGACCCAGGTGATTCAGTCATGGGAATAGTTATACTGTGGAAATCGGTCAATGCCACAAATATGGGCTTGATTGTTTTGTGGATTGACTTAATGAAGTGATGGACACCATGTTATAATGCAGATTAAATTTAAAAGCACATCATGTCTGTAGCTGTTACATTGTAAATAGCACAAAAACTCGAAGAAATATTCTTCCAGTATTCAACAACTATTGTCTTAGAATGTTGCTCAGAACGAGTGAAGTTCCCAGGTGTTTTGTTGTTTCATTTCATCTTACTGAGATAAAAATATCTACCAGCATTGACCTCAAAGCCACACCCATTCGTCATCGGTGGATGGTGGATAGACGGTTGGGCAGAAGTCAAGGACAGCTTCCTATAAGAATCAGCTGGCTCTATGGGGTGTTCTACAAAGAGCAGTGTACCTTTTATTATTACTTGTCAGTTGTGTGCTACCCATCCACGGTGTTAGTTAAATTTGTAATAAGTGTATGTGTGTCCCTAGAGGTACACACTTTTGCTCACAGAGCTGGTTGTTGAGCTCTACCAGCACACCACTGGTTCACAGGGATCCCAGCCAGAGGATGGGCCGTTTGGGTGGGGTGTAAAGCGGGGTGTGAACCGACTGGTTCCCTCACGCTCCCCAAGTCATTGCCTCATGTAAGGCGAACAAAAGGGGACAGCCGGGCTGAGGGCTCAGTCATGCTTCTGCATCTATATTCGTGAGGGATGTTGCAATATCTGTAGCTGTGTTTGTTTTTGTACTCTTTGTCTGGGTTTGGTATCAGGGTAAAACTAATTTCATGAACCGAATTGGGAAGTATTTCCTTTCTGTTTTTTGGAAGTGATTGTGTAGAATTGGTGTTACTTCTTTAAACATTTGGTAGAATTCTGCAGTGAAACGCTCTGGGCCTAGTGATTTCTCTTTGGGGAGGTTTTAAATTATAAATTCAATTTCCTTAATAGCTATGGGCTATTCAAGTGACCTATTTCATATTGGGTGTTGTTGTTGTTAGGTGCTGTCGAATCAGTTCCAATTCATAGCGTCCCTATGTACAACAGAAAGAAACACTGCCTGGTCCTGCGCCATCCTCACAACTGTTACGCTTGAGGCCATTGTTGCAGCCACTGTGTCAATCCATCTAGTTGAAGGTCTTCCTCTTTTGCTGACCCTCTAGTCTACCAAGCATGATGTCCTTCTTCAGGGACTGATCCCTCCTAATAACATGTCCAAAGTATGTGAGATGTAATCTTGCCATCTTTGCTTTTAAGGAGCATTCTGGTTGTACTTCTTCCAAGACAGATTTGTTCGTTCTTTTGGCAGTCCATGGTATATTCAATATTCTTTGCCAACACCACAATTCAAAGGCATTAACTCTTCTTGGGTCTTTCTTATTCATCTTCTAGCTTTCACATGCATATGAGGCCACTGAAAACACCATGGCTTGGGTCAGGCGCACCTTAGTCCTCAAGGTGATGTCTTGGCTTTTTAACACTTTAAAGGGGTCTTTTGCAGCAGATTGGCCCAATGCAATGCGTCTTTTGATTTCTTGACTGCTGCTTCCATGGGTGCTGATTGTGTATCCACGTAAAATGAAATCCTTGACAACTTCAATCTTTTCTCCGTTTATCATTATGTTGCTTATTGGTCCAGTTGTGAAGATTTTTGTTTTCTTTATATTGAGGTACAATCCACACTGAAGGCTGTAGTCTTTGATCTTCACCAGTAAGTGCTTCAAGTCCTTTGTGCTTTCAGCAAGCAAGGTTGTGTCATCTGCATATCACAGGTTGTTAATTAGTCTTCCTCCAATCCTGATACCCCGTTCTTCCTCATATAGTCCAGCTTTTCGGATTATATGCTCAGCATACAGATTGAATAGGTATGGTGAAAGGATACAACTCTGAAGCACCATGCAGTATCCCCTTCTTCTGTTCAAACGACTGCCTCTTGATCTATGTACAGGTTCTTCATGAGCACAATTAAGTGTTCTGTAATTCCCATTCTTCAAAATGTTATCCATAATTTGTTATGATGCATGCAGTCAAAAGCCTTTGCATAGTCAGTAAAACACAGGTAAACATCTTTCTGGTGTTCTCTGCTTTCAGCCAGTATCCATCTGACATCAGCAATGATATCCCTCGTTCCATGTCCTCTTATGAATCTGGCTTGAATTTCTGGCAGTTCCCTGTTTTTGTATTGCTGCAGCCTCTTTTGAATGATCTTCAGCAAAATGTTACTTGCATGTGATATTGTCATGGATTGAATTATGTCTCCCCAAAATATGTGTATCAATTTGGCTAGACCATGATTCCCAGAATTGTGTGACTGACTACCATTTTGTCATCTGATGTGATTTTCCTATGTGTTGTAAATCCTCCCTCTATGATTTTAATGAGGTGGGATAGGTGGCAGTTATGTTAATGAGGCATGACTCAGTCTACAAGATTGGACTGTCTTGAGCCAATCTCTTCCTAGATATAAAAGAGAGAAGCAAGCAGAGAGACAGGGGGCCCTCAAACCACCAGGAAAACAGCGCTGAGAGCAGAGTGTATCCTTTGGACCCCGAGTTCCTGCTCAGAGAAGCTCCTAGTCCAGGGGAAGACTGATGACAGGGACATTTCTCTAGAGCCAACAGAGAAAGCCTTCCCCTGGAGCGGACGCCCTGAATTTGGACTTCTAGCCTACCAGACTGTGAGAGAATAGACTTCTGTTTGTTAAAGCCATCCACTTGTGGTATTTCTGTTACAGCAGCACTAGGTGACTAAGACAGATATTAACAATATTGTTAGATAATTTCTGCATTTGGTTGGATCACTTTTCTTGGGAATAGGCATAAATATGGATCTCTTCCAGTCGGTTGGCCAGGTAGCTGTCTTCCAAATTTCTTGGCCTAGATGAGTGAGCACTTTCAGTGCTGCATCACTTTGTTGAAACATCTCAGTTGGTATCTCGTCAATTCCTGGAGCCTTGTTTTTCACCAATGCCTTCATTGCAGCTTGGACCTCTTCCTTCAGTACCATTAGTTCCTGATCATATGCTGCCTCCTGAAATGGTTGAATGTTGACCAATTCTTTTTGGTACAGTGACTCTGTGTGTTCCTTCCATCTTCTTTTGATGCTTCCTGTGTCATTTAATATTTTCCCCGTAGAATCCTTCAGTACGGCAACTTGAGGCTTGAATTTTTTCTTCAGTTCTTTCAGCTTGAGAAATACTGAGCGTGTTCTTCCCTTTTGGTTTTCTAACTCCAGGTCTTTGCACATGTCATAATATTTTACTTTGTCTTCCCAAGCTGCCCATTGAAATCTTTTGTTCAGCTCTTTTACTTCATCATTTCTTCCTTTTGCTTTAGCTACTCAGTGTTCAAGGGCAAGTTTCAGAGTCTCTTCCAGAGTACATTTTGGTCTTTTCTTTCTTTCCTGTCTTTTTAATGACCCCTTGCTTTCTTCATGTATGATGTCCTTGATGTCATTCCACAACCCGTCTGGTCTTTGGTCGCTGATGTTCAACGCATCAAATCTATTCTTGTGACGGTCTCTAAATTCAGGTGGGATATACTCAAGGTCACACTTCGGCTCTCGTAGACTTGTTATAACTTTCTTCAACTTCAACTTGAACTTGCATATGAGCAACTGATGGTCTGTTCCACAGTCAGCTCCTGGCCTTGTTTTGACTGATGATATTGAGATTTTCTATTGTCTCTTTCCACAGATGCAGTCGATTTGATTCCTGAGTATTCCATCTGGCGAGGTCCATGTATATAGTCACTGTTTATGTTGTTGAAAAAAGGTGTTTGCAATGAAAAAGTCATTGGTCTTGCAAAATTCTGTCATGCGGTCTTCAGCATCGTTTCTATCACCAAGGCCATATTTTCCAACTACTGATGCTTCTTCTTGTTTCCAACTTTCGCATTCCAATCTCTAGTAATTATCAGTGCATCTTGGTTGCATGTTCAATCAGTTTCAGACTGCAGAAGTTGGTAAAAATCTTCAGTTTCTTCATCTTTGACCTTAGTGTTGGTGATAATAGTATAGTAATAATATCTGTATTGGTTGAGTTGTGGTAATTTGAGTTTTTCAAGGAATTGGTCTATTTTGTGTAAGTTATCAAATTTATGTGTGTAGAACTGTTTGTAGCATTCCCTTATGATCCTTTTGATGTCTGCAGGGTCTGTAATGATATCCCTGTGTCACTCCTGGTATTGGTAATTTGTGTCTTTCTCTTTGCTTTGTTAGTCTTGCTAGAAGTTTGTCAGATTTATTGATATTTTCCAAGAACCAAGAACCAGTTTTGTTTCACTGATTTTGTTCTATTCTCATTTTCATAGATTTCTTCTCTCATCTTTATTATTTCCTTCCTTCTGTTTGTTTTAGGTTTATTTTGCTCTTCTTTTTCTAGGTTCTTGAGGTGGGAACTTAAATGATTAATTTGAGACTTTTCCTCTCTTCCTAAGTATGTGTTTAGTGCTATAAATTTCTTTCTCAGCACTGTGTTAGCTGTGTCTCACAGGTTTTGATATATTGTATTTTCATTCAATTAAAATTTTTTTTTTTAAATTCCCCTTGAGACTTCCTCCTTGACCCATGGATTATTTAAAACTGTGTTGTTTAATTTCCAAGTGTTTGGAAATTTTCCTGTTATCTTCTGTTACTGGCTTCTGTTATTGTGGTTAGAGAATGCGCTCTGTATGAATTTCTATTAAATTTGTTAAGGTTTTTTTTTTTTAATGGCCCCAGACATGGTCTATCTTGGTATATGTTGTGTGGGCACTTGAAAAGAATGTATATTCTGCTGTTGTTTGGTGGAGTGTTTTTTAAATGTTGATTATATACTGTTGGTTGATGGTGTTGTTGAATTCTTCTGTATCCTTCCTGGCTTTCTGTCTAGTTGTTCTATCAAGTGTTGAAACTCCGACTATGATTGTGGACTTGTCTATATTTTACTTTCAATTTTATCAGTTTTGCTTTATTTATGTTGCAACTCTGTTGTTTGGAAGGTAAACATTTAAGATAGCTATGTCTTCTTTGAGGATTGACTTTTTAATCTTTATACAATGTCTCTCTCTGTCTTTGGTAGTTTCTTTGAAGTCTACTTTATCCAATATTTGTATAGTCACTCCTGCTTTCTTTTGATTAATGTTACATGATCTATCTTTTTCTATCCTTTAACTTTCAACCTGCTTATATTGCTATATTTAAAATGAGTTCTTTAGAGATAGAATATATTTGTGTCATTTTTTAAAATCCACCCTGCCATTCTCTGTCTTTTAATTGGTGTATTTAGGTCATTTACATTTAATGTAATTATTAATATGTTAGAGCTTAAGTCTGACATTTTTTTATTTTCTGTTTGTTGTCTCTGTTTTTTGTTTCTCTGCTTTCATATGGGTTACTTGGACATTTTTTTAGTACTCTATTTTGCTTTATGTATAGTGTTTGTGAGTGTATCTCTTTTTATAGCTTTTTTTAGTGGTTGCTCAAGGTGTTACTTAGAGCCGTGGTGACACAGGGGTTAAGAGCTCAGCTGCTAACCAAATGGTAAGCAGTTCTAACCCACCAGCTGCTCCTTGGAAACCCTATGGGGCATTCTACTCTGTCCTATAGGGTTACTCTGAGTTGGAATCAACTCGACAGCAACAGGTTTGTTTTTTCTAGGTGTTACACTACATCTACATAGATTATCACAGTCTACAGGTGTGGTCATTTTCCCAGTTCAAGTAAAGTATGCAAACTTTACCTCCATTTACATCCCTTTACTCTTTCCCATTCATAAGGAGCCCTGGTGGCACAGTGGTTAAGTGCTTGGTTGCTAACCAAAAGCTCGATGATTCGAACCCACCAGCTGCTCTTCAGGAGAAAGATTCAGCAATCTGCTCCTGTAATGATTTACAGCCTTGGAAACCCTATGGGGGCGGTTCTGCTCTGTCCAGTAGGGTCACTAGGAGTCAGAATTGACCCGATGCCCATGGATGGGTTTTTACTCTCTCCCATTCTTAACATAATGGTCTTAAATATATCCTCTGTATACATTTAAAACAACATTGAACAGTTATAAATTTTACTTCATCATCAATTTAGAAAACTAAAGAGGTGATGGGAAATCTATTGCATTTATTCATATTGTTTCTTAGCATGTCTTTTTTTCTTCCCTGACATTCTAAGATTCCTTCTTTTATTGTTTCCCTTTTGTTTACAGAACCTCTTTAGCCATTCTTTTAAGGTGGGTCTGTTGTGACAAATTTTCTTAGTTTTTCTTTATCTGAGAAAGTCTTAACTTTCCCTTGATTCCTGAAGGATATAGAATTCTGGGTTGACACTTCTTGCAGCACTTGAAAAGTATTGCCACTTCCTTCTAAGGTTTCTGATAAGAAATACACTGCCATTTGACTTTTTTTCCCCTATATGTAAGGTGCTGTTTCTCTCTTGCTACTCTCAAGAATTTTTGTCTTTAGCTTTTTGAAAGGTTTGATTGATGTGTTTTGGTGTTGATTTCTTTGGGTTTCCTCAGCTTCTGAAATCTTTAGGTTTATGTTCATTTCCATAATTGGGAAGTTTTCAGCCATTATTTCTTTGAATATTTTTTCTGACTCACCATCTTTTTCCTCTTCTTCCAGGACTCTGAAGATATAAATATTAGATCTTTTGTTACTATCCCACAGATCCCTGAGGTTCTGCTTAATTTTTTTTTTCAGCCTAATTTCTTCCTGTTGTTCAGATTAGGTAATTTCTACTGATCTATCTTTAAACTCACTTATTCTTTCTTCTTACCCCTTCATTTACTATTAAGCCCATCCACTGAATTTTTTTTAAATTTCAGTTATTGTATTTTTCAGTTCTAAAATTTCAATTTGCTTCTTCTTTTTATCTTCTCTTTCCTTGCTGAGATTATGTTTTCATTTATTTCAAATATGATCATAATTATTTGTTAAGGTATTATTATGATGGCTGCTTTAAAATTTCAGTTATTTTTAACATCTCTGTCATCTCAGTGTTGGCATATATTGATATCTTTTTCATTCATTTTGAGATCTTCCTGGTTCTTGGTATAATGAGTGATCTTTTATTGAAATCTGGACATTTTTAAAATTATGTTATAAGATTCTGGATCTTATTTAAACTTCCTGTTTTAGCTGGCTTTCTCTGATATCATCTTGGCAGGGGAAGGGAGGGTGCCATCTCATTCCTGCCAGGTGGGGATTGAAGTCCAGGTTTTCTCTGTTGACACTTGAGGAGGGGGACTCCTCATTATTGCTGGACAAGGGTAGAAGTTCTGGTTCCCCATTATGCTTCCACTGATACCTTCCTGGCTGAGGGTGGTAGGTGGCCTCCTTATTGCACCCCACATGGCTCTGACGACACTGTGGGAGATGAAGGTGGGCTCATTACCACCAAGTGGTGGTGGTGAGAGTCCTGACTCTCCACTTGGCCTCCTCTGATACCACTCAGTGGGGGAGTTGGGGTGCCTTTTTACCAACAGGTGAGAGTAGAAGTTCAGGCTCCCTGTGTGGTCTCCGCTGCCACTGGGGAGTGATATCCTTATTACCACCTGGTGGGGACAAAAGTCCTGGCCCTCTGCTCAGCCTTCTCTGACAGCACCCCAGCGAGTGAGTCGAGGTGCCTTATTACAGCTGGGAGAGGGTAAAAGTCTATGCTCCCCACTCTGCCTTTGCTGGTGTGGGTGGGGCTGTTTTTCCGTGGTGTTTGGCTGAAGTGAGTGGTTACTGTCTGAGGGTTTTCTGTCTTGCTGGGCCACCCCTTTCCTGGTCCTTTGGCTGCAGGGAGCTGGTTTCTGTTGGGCTTTTTTGTCTGCAGCAATTGGTGTTTCTAATTTGCTGGCTTCTTCAGCCCCAAATCTGGGATGTCTGAGACAAAAAGAAAGCCAGCGGCCTCATCACTGTGTCGTTCTTCTATCCTGAGGTCCATAGGGGGTTTGCCTTCTTCTCTCCACCTTTCAGAGTCTCCTCACGTTTGTTTATGTACACTGTGCAGGTTTTCAGTTGTACTTAGCAGAAGGAATAGGGATAGTATGTCTACTCCTCTTTCTGGAAGTGGAAACTCTGCTTGGTTTTGAGTATAATTTAATTGTGAGTTTGTATAACTTAATTTAATGATAGTTTTCTAACGACTGAAGGAGCCCTGGTGACACAGTGGTTAAGCACTCAACTGCTAACTGAAAGGTTGGTGGTTCTAACCCACCAGCTGCTCTGTGGGAGAAAGATGTGGCAATCTGCTTCCATAGAGATTTACAGCTGTGGAAACCCTATGGGGCGACTCTGTCCTATAGGGTTGCTATGAGTTGGAATAGACTCAAGGGTATTGTTTTTTTTTGTAATGACTGCTGTTGGCTCCCACAAACCAGGACAGGCAGCCCATGCAGCACTACTTCCAACTGTTCACGCAGAGGACTGTTGCGGCAGCCACTGCCTCACCATGTCCCCTGGGACCCTCTGAGGCAATGTCTACTGGTGGACATTGCCTGCAGCCATCTCACTGGCCAGAGCCGAGGTGCTGGGCATGTGTGGTGCCCTTCAGGGGCCTGCCACAATCCCACTGGGTCCCAACACCATGCCCATCCCTCCTCTTTTTCCCTCTTAGACAGGAGGGGTGGGAGTGGGACGAGCTTGGGTATAAGGATTGCAGGCCCAGGGTTTGGCAGGAGTGTGGAGGAGGTCTGGTTACCTTTTCCGTCACCAGCTTCTCCTCTGCGACCTCAGGAGCCACGAAAAATGAATTGTAAGCACCTGAGACAGAAAACCCCAGACCTGGATTAGTTTTGCCATCGGCAGCACCAAACTCACGCCAAGCGCAGCCCTTGGTGAGCCTCATACGCACCGTCCGCAGGGGGTGCCCCAAAGAGCACTGTGCCATCCTCGGCGACCAGCACGGAGTCCAGGCACAGGTAGGCTGCAGGACAGTGTGGTATCAGAGGCGAACACCTCAGCAGGCAGCGGCACAACAGGACCCACCTGCCGCCAGCTCCGAGGGCCGCTCTCTGGAGGGCCATACTGCCCGATCAAGAGGAGGGGCTCCTCTCAGCCTCCCTGTCACATGAGGCAGGCCTGGGCAGGTGGGCACACTGCCCAGTCCCCTCATAGCTCACCAGTGTTACCCCCAGGGTTGCAAGACTTCAAGTCCCTGGACAATGCCAGGTCATGAAGCAGGCTCCAGCCCCCTCCTCGTCTGTCCCAAAGCACAGGGAGAACCCTCTGAGCCGCCCCTCCCAGCAGCCGAGGCAGTGGTGGATGCTACTTGGCCACACCGACTGGCGGGTGCTCTGAGTTCTAAGTGAAAATGCACTGAACCAAGACCAGGGGAGCTGGGGAGATGGCTGACCCACGGACAAGGTGGGGCCTGGGGGAGGCTGAGAGGTCACAGACCCCATCCTGAGTCAAGGGGCAGTGCAGTGGGGGACCAGGTGACCTGACAGCAGTGTCTCTGATAACTGCTCCCCTCCCCAGTAGCCCTGTGGACACTGTTCTCTGCCCCACCCCTCCTCACCCCATCTTGTATAAAATCTGTTAGGGTGTCCCGTGGGGCAGAACTTCGAGGACCACGAATCACTGTGGTATCTAAGATTCCCCTCTTCCCCCCAGAATCAATGTTCATCTCCTTGGGGACGATGCTACCCTGTTGGGACTGCATGGCCAGAGCGTCTGTGGCCCCCTCCTTTCAGCAGGGGTTGCTTGGTTAAAGGAGGTTAAAGCTTCTGCCCCAAGCCCCTCCGACACCCCCACGGCCCTGAGGTCTGCACTGACCACCTGGGCCATGTTCAGTGAACTCAGCGTCTCTCTCACAGGCCGCTGGGCCCCGCAGTCCATCGGCCGTGGCGGCGCTGGGGACGGGCGAGGGTGGCTACCTGGGAACTCGACGTAAGTCTGCAGGGCTTGGAGGCTCTCGTGGCACAGTGCCCAGAGCTCGTATTCCCGGAAGGGCCGGCCGAGCTTCACCAGGAGGTCCTGCAGGGACATCCACTGTGTGGGGAGGAAGGGATGTGGTCAGGACAGGGCGGCCCCATCACACACTGCTGGAGAGGAACAGGCCTCCCACAGCATGCCCCCTGCCCTGGAGCACCACTGGCTGGAAGAAGCCAGATCTCGGCTCTTCATTCTGAGGCCACCAGGCTAGGGATGCCCAATTGCATGCTTTAGTGGAAGGCTCCAGAGACTAGCATCCTTCCCTCAACCCCCTCCATGGCCCACTGGGGGCACAGCTCTTCCTGGGCTCCCTGCCAGTCAGTGCCCCCCCCGCCCCACCCAGGGGGTTGTCCAGTAAGAGTGTCAGTGCTGTGCCTGCTGGCCCCGTGTCTGAAGGCTGGCTCACTCCTTGCCGAGCCTTTAGCACGGCTGTTGTGCGTGGGGCTGTGGGGTGTCCCAGCACTGAGCTTGGAGGTCCTGGGCTGTGTCCCGCAGTGAAGCTCTGGGCAGGGGGCTGGCTTTACTCTCCACCCCAGCTCTGGGCAAGCCCTAACCCCCTCAGGGTGGAGCAGGGGAGCAGTGCCGGGGCTGCTGAGTGCTGCCTGGACTTCGGGACCCTGACCCCACTTGTAGGCCATGCGGGGCCCAAGGGCTGGGCTGTGCCCTCAGGCAGCTCACAAACTCTTAGGACGAAGGAATGACACAGTGATGGGTGGATTTCTCTGCCCAGCAAAGGTCTGTCCATCCCGGTGAGGGCTCATCTGCTCCAGTGAGCTGTAGAGACCTGGCAGTGGTGGCGAGCCCACGGCCGAGCAGCTAGGAACTGGGCACAGGCACTTCTTGGTGGCTCTGACACCCAGCCTGGCCGTGAATAGTCTCGACGTACGCTTGTGGCTCTAACTTTTAAAAGAACCCAAAGAGGAAGACCTGAAGCCCCTGCTTTTTCCCTACTTTGGGGCCAGGGGCTGGTGGGCGGGGCCCGAAGCCCACTTATGCCCACTGGGACACTGGTGTAGGAACGCAGGGAGTCAGGACCAGCCCCCGCAGGCAGAAAACCAAGGCCCTGAAATAGCCCTGCTGGGGTGGGGGCTGCTGGGCCGGGGTCCTGGGGGGCTGTTCCCACTCCCCTCTTCTAGCAAGAAAAGAAAAACCCTGCCGGGCATGCCTGCTCATGACGGGTGGGCATTGACGTCACTGCCTGGTGGATGGAGGGGTGGCTGTAGGCTGTGTCTGGGACTAGTACTGCCCCCCGGGAGGCCACAGCCCCAGGGAGGCTGTGGGAGACAACACGCCCAGGCTGTGGAAGACAGCACGCCCAGGCTGTGGGGGACAGCAGGCCCGGGCTGTGTTCACAGCTTCCTTCAAAACCCGGCAGCTCCCTGGAACATCTCGGTTATTGAGAAGAGCTGGGGACACAGCGACCTTCTTGGGCTAAATTATCAGTACCACATGGGGCATGGCAGAAGAGGAGCGTAGTGTGCCCCCAGCAGGAAATCGGGCCACCCACCTGCTCCGTGGCTGTGCTTCCTGGCTGCCCCACTTCTTCTGGAACACCCGCAGAGCTGCAGGGAGCCCCGGTGTCTCTGCCTGCGTCTCGAAGGTCCAGGGAGCAGGCTGGGGGGTTCTCTTCTGCAGGGCCCTGGCTGGGGCAGGATGTTGCCTTGGCTGGCTGTGAGGGCCCCTCTTCCTCTGGCAGTCCTGGGGTGCCAGCCGCCCCTCCCTGGCCGGGGCCTCCCAGCCCAGTGCTGCTGCCCATACTGGCCCCCGGTAGGGCTCCCTTGTCCCCACGGCTTCCGGGGCCTCGTGCCTCGCTCATCGGGGGCTCAGACCCCTCCTCGGGCCACAGTCTGTACTTGGGCAGTGCCTTGAAGCCCAGGAGGCCATTTTTCCCCTCTGGAAAGATCTTCCTGCAGTCGGCAGGGAGCAGTTCGGATATGGGCAGCTGGCTTCCCGTCAGCGACAGGCAGAGAGCACCTGCCTCAGGGCCCTCAGCCAGGAGCCGGGGGAAGGTCTGCACCTTCCTCAGGCGGCTTCTTTTGAGCAGGCCATGGTCCAGGTCGCCCAGGGGACCCCTGGTGTCCAGCAGGAGGCCTGCCAGTTGCTCTGAGCACAGCCCCTCCCCGTCGAGGCTCTCGCCGTTTCTCACAGGTGCCAAGAGCAGAGGCTTTGAGGGCGGGGGGCAAGCACCCCAGTTGCTCTCCTGCTCCAGGTTGCCCGGGCCACCCTCAGGCAGGCCCTGCGGGGCATGTGGGGCCTTGGGGTCAGTGCCACGGTCCCCGGGCTGCCCCCTGGGCCCCACACTTCTGGGCGCGAATCTCCCCCTCCAGGCGCTCTCACTGATATCTGTGCCGGGGAAAGCGGGGTCACGGCAGGGAGCAGGGACTGGAGACCCCCGCCCAAAAGACCCCGAGTACAGGGATTCCCGGGATGGGGCTGCTCCCCTAGGCTCCCAGCCACCCACCCCCTCCCTCAGTACCATCCCCAGTGACTTCCTAGCCTCGTTAGTCACTAATCCCAGCTAATTAATGAAGCTCTGGAAGGCTCTGGAAAGCCTCTGGTCCTCTGTCTCCCTCAGGCCAGGCAAAGCTTCCCACAGGAGTTTCCTAAGGGAACCCTGGACTGTCTAAGTATTTCACTGAAAAAGCACATCTATTTTCTATTATGACTGTACAAGTAATGCCCCACAGGAAGGGGACTGAACAGGCCCTACCTCTCTGGGGACACCCTCCTGGCCCCTCGGGGGACACTGTCCCGGGCACAGGCCTCCCTGCGAACGCCTCTAGACATGCACGGCTCCTTGTCACCCTTTGCAGCCTGTGGTTTTCACACAACAGTGGGTGCAGGCCTCCCCCTAAGCTCACTCCCTGCTGGACCAGCACCCCATGTGTGACTGCGTGTGTGTTTGTGTGAGTGTGAGCATGCCCATGTGGGCGTGCATGTCTGTATGCATGTGACAGTGAGCATGTGTGCATGTATGTGTCTATGTACCAATGTGCATAACTGCAGGGCACGTCTGTGCGTTCTTGTGCATGCCTGTAGCATGTGTGCACCCGTGTGTGTGTACATGTGCATTTGTGTGTGAGCATGCATATCTGTGTCTGCATTTGTGTGACTGAACGTGTGTGCCTGTATGTGTGTCCATGTGCATGCCTGCACATGTGCACCCATGTGAATGTGTGTATATGAACATGTGCATGCCTGTGTGTATGTGCCCGTCTGTGTGCGTGTCTATGTGAGTGTATGTGTGTGTGCATGGGTCTGTGTGAGAGGACGCATGGGTACATGGTTCTGTGCATGTCCGTGTGTGTATATGAGCATGTGTGCATGCGCACGCGCATGTGGGACTCACCTTGGAGTGCTCCGAAGGACTCAATGGAGAGCACCCTCCTCCCGACGGCCGAGAGGCTTTGGCACAGGTGGCAGGAGGACACGCTCTTCATCCTCTCCTCACAAAGCGCGATGATGCTCTGCGGACATGGGTCAGACGTGGGCACCCCCCACCCCCCGCCTGGAATTGCTATTTCTGGTACAGAAAGCAGTGTATCCAGGACCACAGAAAACCCAGTGATTCATCCAGCCCTTGGTAGGTCTGAGCCAAACTCTTTCATAACAGAAATGCTCAAGAAACTCCGAGGTCTTGTCTTAAACCAAATGGATCAACCACCAAATTCCAGTTGAGCAGCCAGATGAGGCTGCAGGTGGGATGAGACTGGCGGGGCAGACAGAAGGCGCTCGGTGCCTGCTGGGTGCACATGCGTGTCCGTGTGTGTGACTGCAAGGCTGTGGGGCTCACCTCCAGGTCAGGCCGGTCCCCCGGCTTCTCCGCCTGCATCTGGCCCAGCAGCGCCTCCAGGTCCGCGCTGAGCTTGGGCTCTGGCTCTGGCTCCGGCACGTACTCCACGGCTGCCTTCAGCGTGGCCCCCAGGGAGTAGATGTGGGCCTGCGGGGACCGAGAGGGCCCCCGTCGGTGTCTGGGAGCAGCGTCAGTGCCCAGGCCCCCTTTACCCCGCCACGGACCCCTACCCCGCTGTTCCTCTGGGCCTGGCCTGTGCAATTCTGTTTGAAATAACTGCAGGGCAGAAAAGGTTTAGGTTTTCTCTAAGTCTATACTTGTTCCTCTTGTCTTTACTCCCAAGCTTTCTATAGTTTTTGTTGCTATTATAAATGGAATACTTTTCATTTCATTTTCTAACCAGTCATTACTGCCACAAAGGAAGAACTGTTTATCTCTTGATACGCATCTTGTGATGGTGGCGTGTGCCACTAGGAGATGCAGCAGCCACATGGACTTGTGCCCCAGAGGCCAAGCCACGGGCTCCCGGTGAGCTGGATGTGAGGACAGGAAGGGAGAGTAACCACTTCTCCCTGGGACAGGACGAACACTGACTGTCACACGACCTCTACCCAGTGTGTCACCGCTGCTCTGAGCCGGCTCACAGTAGGAGAGGAGGCAAACGAGGCATAGCACCTGGCCAGCAAGGGATGACACTGCCTTTTTTTTTAAACTGATGATTTGACGTTAAATAAAAAAGCTAAATGAATCTATACGTTATGGAAATAATATGTCCGGCTATAAGATTGAGAAATTAAAGTGAATTGCATTTCTGTAGACTAACAACAAGCAAGCAGGAAAGAGTAATGAAAAAGATGCCCACCAATTTAGAATAGAATCAGAAATTATCAAATTCCTGAGAATAAACCTAATAAAAGATAGCCAAGACCTCTACAGTGAAAATCTAAAAATGTTATCAAGAAGCATTAAACAAGACCTAAATAAATGATGAGGTAAAAGTGTTTATGGAGAAGACCATATATTATAAAGCTGTCAATTATTGCCAAATTGATCTATAGATTCAGTGCCTTTCCAGTCAAAATTCCAACAGAGCTTTCATGGAACTTGGTAAACTATCTCTGAAATGTCTATGAAATAACAAAGACCAAGAATAGTCAGAACACTTTTGAGAAAGAACAGAGCAGCCCTTTGCCTGCCCATCGGCAGGGCTTCTTTGTGAACCTAATTATTAAAATGTGGTTCTAGTTCAAGGATGAACAAATGGGTCAGTGGAATAGAATAGAGACTCCAGAAGCAGACCTGTTTTGTAAAAAACCTTGGTATATGGCTGAGGTAGCATATATCTGGGCTAATCAATAAACAGAGCTGGAAAAAATGGTTATTTATAGGGAAAAGAAGAAATTGGATCCCTACCTCACACCATATAAAAATCTACTTCAGGTAGATTAAAGAATTAAATATGAAGAAGAAACTTTAAAACTCTTGGCGGAAAATATCAGTGACAATCTGTTAGACCTTAAAGTTGGAAAGTTTCTTAAGACACGCAAACAAAACACTAATGATAGAAGACATGAATGAATTTGACTGTATTAACATCTAGAAACTTTTTTTTCATCCAAGGATACATTCAGACAGCTTTCCTCAAAGTGTGGCTGTTTTCGTAATAACCCTGAGGTGTGATTTCCCTTTTTCACTATTGTTCTCTCTCTCAAACACTGGAGTTTCCCAGGGGCCAGAGATGTGCGATTTTGCAGCAGACTGAGGCAGAAGCAGCTCCAAGAATCTAGCTGTCTTCCATTAGGCCAACCATTAGAGACTTACAAAAATGTAACACAATGGCCCTCTTACGATTTTTTGGAGAAGTATTATTTTTCATAAGACTGTTATATATGTTAACATGCAGTGGGTTTATTACTGTCAGTTTAATTAAACTGAACTAATAAATATTTTAAAAATATTTAAAATATGCATGTCAGAGTGGAACTGTGCTCCATAAGGTTTTCAATGGCTGATTTTTTGGAAGTAGATTGCCAGACCTTTCTTCCAAGGTACCTCTGGGTGGACTTGAACCTCCAACTTTTTGGTTAGCAGCTGAGTGCATTAACCATTTGCACCACAATAGAACCCACATAAACAAAAGCTCTTTGGGGTACTCAAGTCTTAAGAGTATAAAGGGATGCTGGGACGGGAAAGTTTGAGAACCTCTGCCTTGAAGAAGATGAAAAGACAAATTACAAAGTGGAGATGCATCTGCAGAACAAAATGGACAAAAGCACCTGAAGAACTCCTACAACAGGCAAGAAAAGCACCACAACCCAATAGAAAAATGGGCTTCTCATCAAAGGGGGCTCCTCGTCCAATCACTGATGAACGGAGGAGGGGGCCATGCCACCTGGGCCGGGAGAGGCGCCCACCACTGCTCTGGCAGGTGTGTAAATACTGCGTCAGAGGATGCTGTGACTCGGTGCCAGTCACCACCAGTAATCTGAGGCACTTTCAATACGTTAAATATAGTAAGTTGGCACTCCAGAAAACATACTGTGAAATTATAATGACAAGCACGAGTCGAAAGTCACCTCTTCACAAACACTAAGCTGTCGTACCAGCACGTTTAGACGATCTGCGGCTGGCAAGGGTGGGGGTGCCCCAAAGGCAGCCCCGCTACTGAAAATGCCCCCTCCCCAGTCGGAAAGGGGGGAGCCGGGCAGTGCCCGGGGCAGCATGCACTGTCCACAGCGTAGCGGCCAGCACCAGGTACCGGTACGGTGCAGGTACGGTACAGGCGCGGTACGGGTGTGGAGGAAACGAGCTTGGCGTCTCCCTACCTGCCAGCACTTACCTCAAAGGTGTTCCCAGTCACATCAAACTCCGGGGGAACAAAAGCGCCCTCAGGGTCATCTTGGGGAAGGAAAAGAGAGACGCTGTGATTGCAATGCACAGAGCACCCGGGACAGAACAACCCGCTGGAACGCTCCTCTGGGAGCCCACCAAGGCCGGGAAGGGGAGCTGACACACTGCCCCGTCGCCTCCCCCTGCCCCCCTTGACTGTGCTGGCCGCGCTGAGGATGGTCTCAGCGTCAGAGGGGACAGCGGTCAGAAACGGAGATCCCTCGTTCCCCAGAGGTGTGAGAAACTGACTCCACAAGCAAGGAAGAAAGGAAAGGATTGGGTCTGGCTTCCAAGAGGAGGGAAATTAAGGTCCTCCAGTTAGGCAAAAGCCAGACCCCTTCCAGCTCAGGTTGTCCCCGGAATGGGGGGAGGCACACGGAGCGCCGGCCACCCCGCAACGACACCTCCTACCAGGGTGGCCGCCGGCTCTCTGCCCTACCGGGGCCCTGGGCCCCAGCTCCTCCTTCGGCCCGACCCCTCCACCCACCCCTCAC